TTTTTTAATTCCTGTTCCTGGTCGCTCCCCGGTAATCACCCCCGGTTCAAGCCGTTATCTCCGATTTGGCGACTGCCCCGTGCGTATATAAAAATCACTCCCCGGCAGGCAGGGACGGGCAGGGACGGGCAGGGACGTCCCACCGCTGCCTGCGCTTACAAACGGTATAAAACAAAAATAAAACAACACCCCCCCCAAAACCAACCCAAAACACCCCCAAATATTTCTGCTTCACAGGCCAAGGCAGGGTCAGTGCGGTGCGCGGCGCGGCCGGCGGCAGCTCCTCTACGTTCTCGACAAGCCGCGGTTGTCCAAATCTTTCACCTGAGCGGTAAAAAAAAAAAAAGGGCTGGGTTAGGTGAAATTTAATGTTTTTTCCCAAATCCGGGGGGTTTGGGCGCGCCTGGGGGCCGTACCTTGTATATTCGGACCAGCCAGTGCTCTGTGGTGTACGCCTCCTCCAGCACATCCAGCTCAAAGTCCTTGTTGCCGATTTCGGCGTTCCTCACCCGGTCATAGCCCGGCGGTCGCTCTGCGAGAGGGCAAAGTACAGGCAGCACACCCCAAAAATGTTGGGGGCATGGTGGGGCGCCCCAAAAGTGGTGCCACCCCCCCTCCACCGGGGTGTTTTGGGGACTTACTGGCCTCGGTGTAGACCTGGCCGAAGCGGTAGTAGCACATCTTGTACATGAGGCAGTTGAGGAGCACCGGGGAGCCCTCGCGGTCGACCCGAAATTCCCCCGTGGGGGTGTAGTAGTCGTGCTCCTTGATGTGGCGCCCCGTGTCCGTGCTGCCCCCGATCCGCACCATCCACAGGAACTTGTTGATATCTGAAAGGTGGAGAGCAAAGAGCTGGGGGCAAGAGCAAGGGGTTGAGTTGGGGGGAAAAGAGTGAGGAGGTGAAGTGAGTTGGGGGGCAAAGAGCCAAGAGTTGAACTGAGCTGGGGGCAAAGAGCAAGGAGTTGAATTGAGTTGGGGAGCAAGGAGTTGAGTTGGGGAGCAAGGAGTTGAGCTGAGTTGGGGAGCAAGGAGTTGAGCTGAGGGCAAAGAGGAAAGAGCTGAGGGGCAAAGAGTGAGGAGTTGAGCCCAGATGGGGGGCGAGGAGTTGAGGGGCAATGAGTGAGGAGTTGAGCCAAGCTGGGGAGCAAAGAGCCAAGATCTGAGCTGAGTTGGGGGCAAAGAGTGAGGAGTTGAGCCCAGCTGGGGGACAAAGAGTGAGGAGTTGAGCCCAGTTGAGGGGCAAAGAACAAGGAAAGGCTGAGGGAGCTGGGCTTGTTCAGCCTGAAGAAGAGAAGACTGAGAGGGGACCTCATCAACACATACAAATATCTTAAGAATGGAAATCACGAGGACGGAGCCAGACTCTTCCCAGTGGTGCCCAGTGCCAGGACCAGGGGCCATGGGCACAAACTGAAGCACAAGAGGTTCCAGTTGAACGGGAGGAAGAACTTGTTGCCTGTGAGTGTGCCCGAGCCCTGGCCCAGGCTGCCCAGGGGGGCTGTGGAGTCTCCTTCTCTGGAGATCTTCAACCCCCGCCTGGACGCTGTCCTGCATAACATGCTCTAGGAGAACCTTCCAACCCTTGCGATTCTGTGATTCTGTGTGAGCCCAGCTGGGGGGCAAAGAGCGAGGAGCTGAGCCCAGCTGGGGGGCAAAGAGCGAGGAGTTGAGTGAGGGGCAAGCAAAAAAGGCAGGTGCAGCTTCCAGAGAGCTTTTCGGTACCGCTTCCACCTTGGAACCTCAGCTGAAGGTGGGAGCTTGCTCCCCTAAGAGCTATTTTGGAGAAGCCTGTGCCACCAGTGCTCTGTGGGTGGGTGTGACCCAGCTCAGAGCGAGATCTTACCGTCAGATGAATACCCGGTGAGGCCTCCAAAGATGACCAGCACATAGCTGACATCCAGCTCCCTCATGATCTCATAGGCTTTCTCCTCTGTCGATGCCATCGCCTGGAGCAGACACTGTGTCAGTCACACCACGTGGTGCCCCCAGAAAGTCAGGGGAAGGCGGTGGGCAAGGGAGGGACCTACCTGACCGACGCGGGAGATGTGCGTGTTGTTCCAGGTGTTGTTGTCCACCAGGATGGTCCGGTTGGCCATGGCGGTTATCTGGTACCCATAGTCCCACCAGGACATCACCTTTGCATCCTGCACCCAAGCACCAGATGCGCTGTCAGCACCTCAGCGGACACCGCTGGGTCCCCGCTGCCCGAATTACCCCCGTTTACCTCCGGCGTGTTGTGACGCAGCCAGTAATAAGCTTCTCTGAAGTCATCAAAGATGATCCTGCTGCCGTCCCCACCCCGGGCGGACAGCACGATGGAGGGGGAGGAGTATGCCTCACTGGTCACCCAGGTGGAGTGGAAGGTGTAGGTGATCAGGAAGAAAGCCATGACCAGGATCATGCCACTGGCAACCTGGGGGGAACAAATGGGGGTCACCGCTGGAGGGAAGAGGCCATCTGCCTCCCACGCTTGTCCCCACCAGGTGTCTTCCTGAGCTGCCCCAACCCTCACTTCGTTTTTGATGGGATAGGTGGAGTCTTGCTGCTTTTTGCTCTTCTTGTCCGGTCGGCTGATATCCAGGTTCTTCATGTAGGTGGACAAGACCTGAGAAACCCCGATGCCAGACAGGATGCACATCACCGGGGCCAGCACCAGCATGAGACGCACCTACAGGCAACAGCAGAAGAGTCGGTGCCTGGTGGAGAAGGAATTGGGGCAGAAATCCGAGAGAAAACAAGACATTAAACGCCATCCCTAATTCAGCGCCTTGAATTCAGTGGAAACATCAGACCCTGGATAAACCTGTAGCTCATTTTTTTAGTGGGTACAGACTGGAAGCGGCCACCACCTTAGATGGCCCCAAGTTCTCTGAAGACCTCAAAATTGGCCAAGGTGCAGAAGTGACCTCAATTTAACCCCCTTGGGCAATCTTTGGTGGAGCCAAGAATGGGTCGATGCCTCCACAGCAGAAAGCGACCCGCGCTTGGGGCTCGGGGTGCTACAAAAGGAGTGGAACAGGCTCAGAAGCAGCCGCTGGCTGTCGGTCCCTGCTGGGACACCTGGAGAAATCGTCTGGGTTTGCAACTCGGCTATGGGAGAGCAGGAACAGAGACCCAGTGGCGGTGGCCGCAGCAAAACCAGTGAAGTTTTGCGACGTCACGTTCCCTCGCGGCGCAGAGGGGCGAATAAACCGGTTGTAAGGACGGAGAAAAGCCTCACGAACGTTTCAACCGCCTCACGGTGGAAGAACCATCACCAACAAGCTCAGGAAAATAACCGAAACTGGCTTCGCTAAGACCGTTCTGTCATCCTGCTTGCGCCCAGCAGGCAGCAGCCCTCACCATCACCGCAGAGAAGTACATGCTGGTCACGCCGTACATGATGATGAAAATGCGGGCGTCCGAGAGGTTACTGAAGCAGTAATACAGCCCGACTGCGGAGAGGAAGGAGAAACGGGTCAGGTTTGCCCTAGAAATCTGCTGCCTGAAATAAAAAACAGCCGGCAGAGGGATGGAGCGCTCCACGGCAGCCTCGGCACCGCGAGGAGAGGGGAGGCTGCGGCCCTGGCTGGCAGAATAAAAACCCTTCCGGTGTCGCAGGGTGATTTAATAACTCGGGGCCTGACGACGTCTGCGCCCGGCTCACCTGGGAACATGAAAACGAGAAGCTGCAGGTCGAAGTAGTAAGAGGACCAAGTGGTGGGCTGGTGCTCGGAGACGGAGGCGATGATGGGGATGTTGTTCTTTGCGTAGGAAGGGTCCAGCAGGGAGTAGAAACGCCCCGTCCACGGGGAGATTTTCCCTAAGGATAAGGAGGAAAAAAAAAAATCATGTTCAGTTCCAGGGGAGAGTAACCAGCAACGCCAATACGTTCCCTCACAGGGGAAGCACGTGCAGGGCTGAATGAGCAATCCTGGACCTCGTTTAACATCTCTGTTACTCAAACTTGCCGTTTTAGAAAGGAAATAAAGTGCAGTTTCACCCTAAAAAGACCTCTCCCCCACCCGCCCCATGTTTTTAGCATCTCTTTGCTACCACCCATCAACGTTCGGGTTCTGAAGCAGCAGCTCAGCGTCCCCAGCGTGCGCTGAGTCACGGCAGGTTTCTCTCTGCGCCTCGTATCACCCCGAGCCCAGCTCTTACAGCTGCCTCTTAAATATTTGCCTGCTAAGGCGCAAATTAGGGCTGGTCC